GATCCTATAAAAAATGGAAATATTTCCTGATTAACTGGGTTTATTTTTAAACATTAGGAAATGTACAAATCATAAATGATTCATTAATGTCTCTTAGGCTCATATTCAATAGCAAATCTAGTACTTATCTCTAAGATGCTGACATTTAGATTTTTCGTTCCATAAATTTCTGTCATACACATAACTGAGCACAGTGTTTCAAAAATGAAAAATGTCTCTTTTCTTGTACAGCTATGAATGATATTTCCCTTATTTTTCAGGAAAGCACATTAGGGTTTGATATTTGCCCTGATCTAACTTCAAACCAGTAACCAGAACAATGTTATAGCATAGAAAAGTTTTACATTACAGATCTATTATGGAAATAACTCATATTTGATGCATTCAAGATTATAGGGATGATATAGATATGGGAAGTATAACAACTGGACCAAACATCACTATGGAGGAGGTTGAACATGCAATAATAATAGCAAAAACAAGAAAAGCCACAGGACCTGATGATATCCCAGTAGAAATTTTAAAACTGCTGGAATACAATGGGAAGAATTTTTTACTGCAACTCTTTAATCGAATATATGAAACAGAAAAGATACCAAATGATTGGCTAAAATCAACCTTTGTGACAATTCCCCCCAAAAATAAATGCAAAGAATTGTACTGAATACAAAACAATAAGCTTAATGAGTCATCCTCTGAAAATATTCCTGAGAATAATTCACACAAGAATATACAACAAAATTGAGGAGCGTCTTAGGTAAAACACAATTTGGTTTCAGAAACAATCTTGGTACACGAGATGCACTATTCAGCATTCAAGTTCGTGTACATTGTTGTAGAGATGTCAATCACAGTGTTTACATGTGCTTCATTGATTTTGAAAAAGCATTTGATAAAATAAGACACAACATTCTATTAGAAATCCTGAAACAAGTGGGACTAGATGACAAAGACATCCAAATCATAAAGAATCTATATTAGCATCAGATAGCAAATGTGAGACTAGGCCAAAAATACTCAGCTGATGCAGAAATAAGAAGAGGGGTCAGACAGGGATGTATTCTATCTCCACTGTTGTTCAATATCTACTCTGAATCAATCTTCAATGAGGCACTGGAGAACATTGATGCTGGCATCAAAGTAAACGGTGTTTGGATTGCCAGTAAGCATGAAGACCTTCAGCTCCTCATCAACAGAGTCACAGAAATATCTGAAAAATATGGCTTGAAGCTTAATACCTCGAAAACCAAGATCATGGTTGTCAGCAAACAACCCGTTAATTTATCACCAATAAATTCGGAAGGAATACCATTAGAAAAAGTTGAAAGGATCACGCATCTGAAAGCTTGGACATAACCATTGAAGTAAAGACAAGGATAGAGAAAGCTCAAACAGTATTCTTCAAAATGAAAAAGGTCTTCTGCAGTCACGACATAAGCCTAAGTTTGAAAATCATGCTTGTCAGATGTTATATTTTTTCTATCCTGCTCTATGGAGTAGAGAGCTGGTCTCTGACAGAAGGCCACCTGAAGAGACTAGAAGCATTTGAAATGTGGATTTACAGACAGCTGTTACGTATAAGCTGGGTTGACAAGATCAGAAATGAGGAAGTGATCAGCCGCCTAGGAAAGCCAAGGGAAATCATCAAAACAATTAAAAAACGAAAGTTAGAATATTTCGGACATGTGATGTGAGACTCCATTTAATCCTCCAGGGAAAGATTGAAGGCAAACGTGGTCCAGGCAGAAGAAGAACATCATGGCTTCAAAATCTAAGGGACTGGTTTGGACAAAACTCAGCATTTTTTCGTGCAGCTGCTGATAAAAATAGGATCGCCAACATGATCATCAATGTCCAATAATGGATATGGCACAAGAAGAAGAAGAAGAAAACATAGATGAGTTATACTATAAATGAGAAGTAACTTTTCTAGAGAAGGCTCTAATTCTGGGAAAGTTGAAAGTAAGAGAAAAAGGTAATGACAGCAAAAAGGTGGATAGACTCAGTTACAAAGATAATAGATGCAACATTGGAAGACCAGGTTAAAGGCATATTGGAAAAAATCTATCTATATGGTCACAAAGAGTTGACACCAACTGAACGGCACCTGAACATAGTCAACCATTGAGATTTAAGGACTAGTTATTACAACTGTTTTTCTCCCTGCAAGTGGGCAAAAGGTTACTCATGGAGACAATAGATCTTCTGAAGGTTTGTAACATCTCATCTGCTCATCCTTAACATTCTCTAGAGGTGCAGGATAGACAGCCGTATTGAGTTCATCTGCTTCCCTGAGAGAGGCTGTATGGATGTAAAGCAAAGGTCTCCAACTTTTTGGCCACCTGGGACCGGTTCCATGGAGAGAGGTTTTTCCGCGGACTGGAGGGTGTGTGGTTTTGTGTGCTGGCTGCATCCTGCGGATGGGGCTTTACTTGTTTGTGTGGCCCGGTTGCTGGCATGCTGTGGCCCGGTACTGGTCCACGAACCAGGAGTCGTATAAAGTACACAACATACCATGACAAAAGATTTGAAGACCTTTAGCCAGGTGGCACAACTCACAGAATTCAACTCTAGATAGAGACAACATAGTGTATTTCACCTGTTTGACTACTTTGCTCACACTTCTGCTAATGCAATGTATCAGCCACACGGAAAGCATCTGTATCAACTTGCCTGATTTTTCAACCGATAAGGAGATTTATGAAAAAACAGCTGAGAAGAAGAAAGAAGCCAATTCTTTTTGGTAGCAGAGAGAACATTTAGTAGCAGAACTAGAGAGTTATTTAAGTTGTGTGATCAGTTCAATTATGACCTTTCACTGAGGTCTTTGATCTCCTAATAATCAGCTGCAGCATGCTAACCATTTTGAGAGAAAGAGACTGAACTGGTCCTTTATTCCTTCTCCTTCCAAGTAATGTAACTAGTGCAATGCAAAAAAATAAAAATAAAAATCCCCAAGCCCTGATTTTCCCTCCCAACTAATTTTCAGTCAGTTTGATGAAAAAGAATTTGCTTTTGAAATTGTTTCAGAAGAGAAGAAAATGCAAAGATACTTGGTGTACCTACACTTATCTGATGACTAAGTAGCCAAGGAGTGTTTGTGAAAGCTCTGTTTTTCATGATACAATTATCTCTTCATATGTTTGTGCCCTTTCTGGTTCCTAAATTTCTCATTAAATCCCAAGGGAAAGCATTAGAAAAGAACTCTTTCTGTGTACCCCCCTCCCTTCTCCCAGATTGGAAATGAAAGACATTCAGAAAGGTTTCAGAGGGATATATAGCAAAATAATGATATAGTAAACCCATCCCTACTCTAAGCATAAAGTTCAAAACCATTACAAAGAGAAATCTAAAAGAAATTCTGAAGCACTCAAGGTAGTAAAATAGGAACCTCTTTTCTCAGAAGAAAAGTTTTGAAAATTGCTAGGTCCATTTCAGTACAGGATTAGTAGGTGTACTGATGAGTGGCTTTAAGGTTTCTGAGATATCCCCCTTAAAAAGTAGAGTGGAGGCAAAAGCTCCTGCAATCTTGGCAAAGGCAAACCTCCCTTAAGTCTCCTCAATTCCAGTGCTGGCAATGATTCATAGCTGGCCTATCTTGCAAATGTTCCATCAGCGGGACAAAGAGCAAAATTGATTTCATTGCCTTTGGCTTCAGAACAGGCAAAATCAGCCAGACAATACTTCTGTCTCTCCTAAAGAGAGAAGGCATTTTTTTTTTGTTATGTCAACTTACATTTCAAAACAAACCATACCCTCCCAGAGAGTTGTTCCTACAACAAAGATTTTTGCAATGTCAGATATTTGTTCCATGCTGTATTCTCTGTGCATGGAAGAATGGCCAGTGGTGACCACAGATTATGTCTTGCTAAGTGGGACAAATAGTCTTTTCTGGCATAAGAGCAACAGTGAAGGATAAATCTGGATCAAATTCCTGAGCACTGCCAGAACTACACAGCCAAAGGCAAGACTCAAATCTCTCTCCCTATTATACTGTGTGTCTCATTACAAAGGTAATCTTGTTCTCAGAAAAAGCAAAAAGGGACATTTCTACCTACAGTAACAGTCTCTAAATGTCCAGCTCAACCCATGAACCCACAGGATACTTCATCATTCCCAGGCCCTCTCTCTAATCTGCTAAACCTGGAAACACAGCATCAAGATACTACAGTGATTATGCTGAGTGTGGCCAAATATTATTCCATGAAATGAGGCCCATATCCAGGGCAGACCTTTGGCAGAAATCATCCTTTAGGTTTGGATCACTGAAATGCAGCTTGCTGCCCTTTACATATGGTGGATTCCAATCCCCATTATCCCCAGTCAAAATGGTGGTACTTGTCGAGAGCAATGGGAAGCGTAGTCTTGACAGAATGCTTTACCTTATGGAAAACCGTTTGCATTCTTAATTTTTTGTGGGTTGCACAAACAATATCCTGATAGGGGGAAGAGATTCTTAGAGAGGGTCACCCCCTTATCCCAAATTCCTTCCAACTTGTCCTGCTTCTTCAGAGCAACTTGGAAGCACTTTATGCAGCCAGACCCCATGCCAGGGCTCGGCTGTCCACTATCTATCCCATCCTCCTGCTTGCTACCCAGTTAAAGAGGTTTATTCCGAGGGCTTGTCAGGGCAGGCGCTCCGAGCCGTGTTTTGCAAACTTCTGGCCCGGGAGAACTTCCCCGCTCGAAAGCCAGTCAGGACAGAGTCCTTTCCCTTTCCTAGCCTTGGATGTGGCCGCACCAGTACAGCCGGGACAAGCGAAAGCGAGCTTAGCGCAGCTCGATAAAGGGCGGGGCGTGGGAAGCTGCAGGACTCCCGAGTCTCCCGGGGTTCGTGTAAACGGAGGCAAGGCAGGAGAGTGAGAGGCGTTGCACCTTCGTACGGGGAAGGGAATCTGCCCTTACCCCCGCCCCCACCTCAAAGCGCCCCACGGGGAAAGCGGCGGGGCTGGCAGGCTCTCTGGGAGCAGCCGGCACAGGCTCCCCGTGCCTGCCTGTACCTTGCTGAACACTTCCAGATCCTCGTCGTCGTCGAACTCCAGCAGCTCCGGGGAAGAGGGCGGCAGTAGCGGCCGCGCTGAGTCCGCGAGGGGCGCTGGCGGCTCGGCGCAGGCCGGGGCTGCAGTGGCCTCACCGCCAGGGCGAGGGGAGGAGGAGACCGGCCGCGGCGACTGCGACGTGCCCCGCTCGCCCTCCATCCTTTCCCGGGCTTGTGTGTGTGTTTGTGTGTGTGCCTGGAGCGCCCTGCTCGGCAGGCGGACGATCCCGGGCTTGCGCTCCTCCTCTCGTCGCGGTAATTGGTCGCCGGAATTCTCGGCCGCCCCTTTGCTCGCACTGCGCAGGGGCGGCGAGGGACGCAGAAAAGGCGGCGAGCTGGAGTCCCGCGCGGAGCTATGGGCGAACCCGGCCTTGGGTTTCGGTACCTACTTCTAATATCCTTTCCCCATCTCCATTATGGGAATATGAAAGGCAGGAGAGGGGCGGGGAGCAGACGCTTCCGCCCCCCCCCAACAGGCTTTGTGCTGAAAGCCTGCCTCAGTTCTTCCCTCGGCCAAGCCTTGCAACAGGTGCGGTGTGTGGGTTATGGGGAGGCATTTGGAGATACTCCCTCTGTGGCTTGAAGAACAATTGGGAGTAATTTTTTGGAAATGATGCTGGTACGCCGAGGACGTTTGAACACGTGCAGCTTTGCTCGCCATAAAAACTGAGGAATCCGGAGGCTTCATTGCTTAGGGGTGGAGCGAGAGTATTGTGGTACAGGGAGTCTTCTATTTACAACAGTTCACTTAGTGACCATTCAGAAGTTACAACGGCACTGAAAACAGTGACTTATGACCATTTTTCACACGACTGTTGCAGCATCCCCATGGTCACGTGACCAAAATTCAAACACTTAGCAACGGGACTCAGACTTATGGTTGTAGGGTTCCGGGGTTATGTGATCCGCTTTTGGGAGCTTCTGACAAGCAAAGTCAGTGGGGAGACCAGATTCGCTTAAGAACCGTGTTACTAGTTTAACAACTGCGGTGATTTGCTTAACAACTGGCAAGAAAGGTCGTAAAATGGGGCAAAATTCACTTAACAAATGTTTCATTTAGCAACAGAAATGTTGGGCTCAATTATGGCCATAAGTCAAGAACTACCTGCATATATTAAGTGTAGTTCCAGCTGGTGCTTAAGGTAGGCCTTGAGTAAAGAGATTCTTGTTTGATTTGTCTACCAATCTCTTCTTTACATACCTAATGTGCTACAAAATGCACCTCTCCTGGCATTTTGCATCCATTTTTCACAATAACCTTTTTGTTTAATCTTTGCATGATGATGTTCAAACCAAGTTCTCCCACGGCAGTTTACAATGCATTTAAATCCCCAGAATGAACTCTCACCTATTAAAACCCATGTCACAAAAGAATGAAAGCAACAGCCAGAATAGTTAAGCAGTTTCTCAGCAGCATATATGTTTAATGTGATAAGATAATAATGTCTAAGGAAACAGAAGTCTTTGTCCAAGAAGAAAGCAAAACTATTCTGAGGCATTTCTCATTAGTAAGCACTGGGGTCTGTTACTGAAAAAGGCTGCCTAGTTCCTTACCTTAGAATAATGAGCAACCCAGGCAGGTCTTTCACTGATTATTTTGAGGGCACAGAGAGGAACATAAAATCACTTAGATGAGATGGACAGCTTAGAAATTTAATAAAAATAAACTTAAGAAAGAATAACAGATGAGGTACTCCATTGATGTTGCAATTCCCATCCTATGGTGTTCAGCAAAATTTCTCTAATCAAGCCAAGTAAAGGCTTTAATATTATTTAATGGTTGATCTGCCTTAAGTGCCAGCATGCCACTCCAGCTTTTTTAATATGCCTAGCATTGATGTTAATGGCTGCAACCATTTCCTTCACAACCATTTCAGTGGTAAAACCTCAGACACCTAACTAAGTCAGATCTAGATCTGATCTAGAGAAATTAGATCAGACATACAGAAAATCTTCTATCATAGTATATGATCTCCAAGTATTAGCAGGCTGTTAGAACATCTGAAAATCACAATTCTTTTTATCTTTACATTTTTTTCATCTCTTACAATCTATTTCATCATTCTGTACAACGAGTGTTGGGTTCAAACTGAAAGAATCTTCATTTGCATTCCAATTGTAGACAAATCAGTTTAATTTGTCCTTGTTATGAAACAACAAACTTACTTGCGCTGTAGAAAAAATATCTGAAATAGTTTCTGTGAAACTGCTGTTAAACACTATTACATGGGATCAGTTTCATGGGTACAGATCAATGGTTAATTGGTGCTGCTGTATAGTAGCAGATTTGTGAAAGGCGAATCTCTTGAGAAGTCTATGTGACCCCATTTGATACTATGGTTAGAGGACTGAACTAAAGTTTAGGAGATCTAGCCTAAAAACCTCTCTTGGTCACTGAAGTTTATTGGGTGACTTTGAACAAGTTGCTATTTTTCTCTCTTCCAACCTACTTCACAAAGTTGCTATTCTGGGGGAAAAATGGAGGAATGCTATGGTTACTGCCTTCAGCTTTTGGAGGAAAAGCAAAATATATACCATCATTGTTTATTTCTCGATTTGTTCTGAAGTTTTTATTCTGTTTTTAGGATGTAAACTGCAAGGAACCCTTTTTATTGAATTTGGGAGTGTAAAATATAACAAAGAAAAACAAATGAATATATATAATCAAGTCTTGGATTTATGTTAATTTCTGTGTAATCTTTTCATGCAGTTCATTTTGGATGCCAGATAGAGAGATTATTTTCCTGGCCACTGCCTGCTTTCAGCAAGCATGTCTGACCATCACATTAAAGACTTGCTTTCCCTGTTTCTATGTGATGGGCTGAAAATAATAATAATAATAAAAAACACCATTGATCCTTGCTTTGTGGTAGTCATGACATTTTAAAACCAGCACTGGAAAGAGCTCAGCCTTATAACTTATGCTTTCTGTGGCATCTTTGAATAAACAAACATCTGTCCTGTAAGGCTTAAATCTATAACACTATCAGCATAATGGCCAGCACAGACTTTCCATTTCCCCACAAATATTGCACATTCATTTTGAAAGCAATGGTATTTGTGTAACTGCTAGTGCTGAGTAGGGTTATTTATTTCTTCATATCTCTGGCAGGATTGTTGTTTTTGATGTAACTGGCCTCAAAGTATGTGTGCCCTGCCAAATATGATCCATAATACCACTCTGAAAAGATCAGAGAGAAGGGAACATTTGAACAGAGTCCAGCACCCATTTTATTCCAAACACAGATGACAATAAAAGCAGTGCAAATGTACGGTACTTCTAGGTTGTTAAGTCAGGGCCCTTCCATGTAACCCTTTTCTGTTCACGGATTGGGCAAGAATCTTCAACATTCCATCAGGTTTTAATTGAAGGTTAAGCTCAGTTCTTTGATCATATGGGTACATCTGCATTGTGTTCTTGGCAGCCGTTCATGAATGCTTTACCACTGCTGGCTTCCTAACAGGCCTGGCCTTTCCTGATGGTTTCCCTTTCAAGTAATAAGTAGATGATTTAAAAGATTCCTACTGGTTAACAAGAATCTTTTGAATGTAACTGGATTGACCTGGAAGTAAGTCTATTGGAATATGTAAAGATTAGCCTCTCTGCAACCAGAAGGTTTATAGGGAAATTATGACTGGGAGCCCAAGCTAGAACGGCAGGAAAAAAATATATGTCACAATACTTTCTCACGCACAAGGCCCAAATTTAATAGGAGAGAGTCTGGGGATACAGGAAGGGAATTCTGACAAGCAGCTCATAGGCTTTAGGTTGCCCTGCTGAGTTTTAAGTAATAGCACACTTTGCTCCAATGAAATATATAGAAGCTGTTAAGATCGTAAACAGTTGCTGCCTTCTACTGTATAGGTCTGGGGTAAGCAACCCTGGCTCTTTTATGACTCATGGACTTCAACTCCCAGAATTCCTGAGCCAACATGGCTGGCTACCCCTGATATAGGTAGTCCTTGTGACCTATTGCTTAGCAACTGTTCAGAGTAACAGTGGTCCTATTCACAGCCTGGATTCAAAGTTCCAACAGCTGCCCCCACCCTGAAGGTCACGTGGTCCAACTTTGGGTGCTAGGCAACATGGCCATATTTATGGGTGTTTGCATCATCTCGTGGTCATGTGACTGTGTACCTCATAGTCCGTTGATTTGCTTAATGACCACTCCAGAAAAAGTCATAAAGTCACATGATTGCTCCATTTTACAACTGTCAGGATTTATGACCATGATAGGCAGGCTTGAGGACTATGTGTATCAGATAAAGTGGGTCCATCTATTTCAGCATTTTCCAGTATGGGCTACAAATAATGAGGGAACTTCATTCCTGATGGTAGTATTGTGTTGCTATTTCTAACAATAAATGCCATCAGAAGAAATTTGAGAGAAATTCTCAAGCATCCTGGGACTGATATAGAAAATCAGAAGCTTCTTTGACAGGGGAAGTAAACTGTGGAACTGCAAGGCTAATTTCTACACAATGCTACAGATAAAGAACCAAAAATCTTTCACGTGTAAATTGCCTGTAGCCCCTCAACTGCAGCTATCCTCATATTTGCACAAACAACAAAATTGTAGTTTCTCCTGAAAATTCACCCTGATAATGCCATAGAACAAAGCCAGAGATGCAGAACATCAACATCCTGCTTCTGAATGTTTCTCAACCCTATTTTACAGAGTTTGAGCTAAAAGGCATCTCATTTTGTTACAAAGAATAGAATATATATCTCTAGCTTGAAAATGCTATATATTTAAAGAAAATGCTTTACAAAATCACCAAGCTCTTACTTTAACAAAAACTGTGGTCCGCAATATTGTTTTCCTAGCTACCCACTGGCTACACCAATGGAATTTCACAGAATCATGAGATACTTACTTTAAAATCTGGATGGAACTATTGGGTGAATTGTAGTGTTTTAAAATGATCAATTTATATGTTTTATTTTTGTGATGCTTTTGCTATTCCTGTACAAATCATTTCAGAAAAAGAATTGAAAAGGGAAAAAAAAACAATAACAAGCATTTATAACCCAAGAGATTTAGGATAAACTGTATTTTTTACTGAGGAAAAGACAAAACACTTTCCCCAACAATTTCACATTCACTTGTTTCTGGCAATTTATATTAACTAGAAAATATATGTGGACATTTAACCTGTCAGTTCTTATTTCAATCACTTTTAACTCAGTAGCCCAGGCATCAGCTGTTTTCTAACCACACGGTCCCACTCCCAACAAAGCAAAACCATTCCAGAAAGCAGATTTTTTTCCTGATCGTTGAAATAAAATATTGAGGTGACTCATGCAAACCCATTTTTAGACCATCCCTTACCCTTTCTATTTTGTAGTTTGCAAACTTTGGACATGAAATGACTTACGGACAGACATTTTTGGTATGATTTTGGCATGTTTCCCAACAGTTCACATATATTACTGATAACCAATGCATGTCCAAATGGGTCTTTCAAATGACTATAGACTCCATTAACTTTACTTCACGTTTCCCACAGAAATGCTACTCATTTGTTCATCCTTTCACCTTAGTCAACCTGGGAAATATTACAGGGAAATATTCCTATTGCAAAAGTAAAGACTGATCAACAGAACCAGAAGAAAGGATGCTTTCCTAAGTGTCTGTATAAGTAGCCCTTGAATTACAATCATGGCTTAGCAACATTCAAAATTATAACGGCCTGAAAAAAGTGACTTAAGACTGGTCCTCACATTTATGACCGTTGTAATATCCCCCATAGTCATACGATCAAAATTCAGGTGTTTTACAATAGTTGCAATGTCATGTGATTGCCATTTGCAACCTTCCCAGCCAGCTTTTGACAACCAAAGTCAATGGGGGAAGCTGGATTCGCTTAGCGACTGTGCGATTCAGGTTAACAACTCAAGTGATTGGCTTGAGTGATTGGCTTGAGTGTAACCATTTTTCAACCAAAAGCTTGTAAAATTAACAGCCGCCTTGCTTAGCAATAGAAATTTTTATCTCAGTTGTGGTCGTAATTCAAGGACTGCCTGTATAGTGTTAACTATTGGAATAAGCAATGGCTATAATCAGCCAAAAACTCCTAATCACTGGAGGGTCTCTTTGTGGGCTTTTTTTAAAAAATGAAGTCCTTAAATCCACTTATAAGAATCTCCTGTTATTGCCATTTATCTCGGTACACACATACCCAGAGAGAGAAAGAAAGAAAATAACCATTTCTCATCTACTTTCAAAGAGAGGAATGAGAGAATGGGCATGCTTTTTTAGCATCCTATGAATCCCACAACACTTGGAGAAGTCTGAAACCTGAGAGTTACAGTATTTCCGAAACCTACCCTGACTATTCATTTATAGCAAAACTCATAGTGTTCCAAATTCCATTCATTTTCCACTCATTTATCTTAAACTCAGTGGAAGCAGTAAAGAAGAGGGAGGGACAATGAATCTATTTCTTTGTTCACTGGCTGAAAAGAAAGCAGAACTGTTCGGCACAGCTATTTTTTAAACAGCCTTGATCTTGCAAACCCATTTCTAGAGAATCCTGCTAGTGGGAGGAAAGTGGGAAAGAAATTGAGTGGAGTTATCACGATATAGAATAATAGGAAAATTTCATCTAATCTTTGTGCAGGTGTTGCATTTTTTTCAAATAGAAAATGGTGAAGAGTTTGCAGGGTTTTTTTTTTTAATAAAGGGAAAGAAGAATGGTGGATGGATGAAATAAAAGCAACTTGTTCACAATTATTTTGAATTTTGTGTGCACAATATGAAAACATATCAATGTTACAAATACTTTATATCTCCTCTAGTAAAAGTTGATATTTACAAAGTGTAAATTCTTTCTAGATTGAGAGTTTATAAAGAAGTTCAGGATTTTCCACCATAATTCGTTAGTATTAAACTTTTCTTTGTAAGAAATATTTTCTAGTTTCATTGTTTTGTTGTGTGCTGATTGCCATAGAAGCTCTTCAAAATTTTTATTTTCTTCTAGATTTAACCTTTTGAATTTTCAATTTCAAAATCACTGCAACCTTGATGGCTATGATAAAACAAATCTAAAATACACATGAAGACACTACATTTTCAAGACTGTGGAGCCAATATTATGTTCTTTCTTCCTCCCAGCAAGACTTTGGAGAGTTTGGGGTGTACCTTAACACCACTAATATATTTCAGTATATTTAATTTGCAGGTCTGCAGATTATTCCTAGTTCAGTCTAAAACCCCTGAGACCCCTTTGCCTTTTCCTTTCCCAATTTAGTCTTACACAAGTTATCCTTTTTTTCTGCTTTTCCAAATTTTCATATCTTTCAAATTTTCATAGATATTCAGGATTGTGAGAAGATATGATGAATGCAGTCCAACCTATCAAAAACAGTATGGTAAAAAACAGATTAGAAACACAAAATAGGCAAGAAAATGGTAAGAGAACACCTGTCCACCCTAGATGAGTTCAAATCACCAGGACCAAATGGATTACACTCCAAAGTTCTGAAGGAACTGGCAGATGTGATCTCAGAACCACTGAACTATATCTTTCAAAGATCCTGGAGCACTGAGAAACTACCATAGGACTGGAAAAGAGCTGATGTAGTTCCCATCTTCAAAAAAGGGGAAAAATGGATCCAGGAAACTACAGAAATAGCAGCCTGACCTCAATATCTGGAAAGATTCTGGAAAAGATAAGCAATGAATTAGCAAACACTTAGAGGCAAATAAAGTCAAACAAAAAACAATATGGGTTTGTTAAAAACAGATCATGCCAGACAAATCTTACTGCATTCTTTGACCAGGTGACAAAATTAGTGGACCAGAGGAATTCTGTGCATATAGTTTACTTGGATTTCAGTAAGGCATTTCAG